CCGCATTGAAATTCAGAAATCCCCTCGAAAGGTCGAGGAAAGGCACCTTGTTGTGGGCGACGCCCGCCGAGCAGTCGAAACCCGTCTGCTCCAAGACGGCCGCCCGTATGCGCTCCACTAGGGCGCAGCCGCGGGCCAGCAAGGAGTCTCCTCCGCCAGGGTCTACGATGGTCGAGAGCCACTCTGCCACGGCCTCCTCTGCACCACGGACAATGCAACGAGGCAGGCTTATTGGTCAACGTTACTGCATCGTTTCAGTCTTAGGGCTTCCCGCGGACACTACGATGAGAGCGTTCGAAACTGTGTCTGAGTGTTTTGTAGCGGTGGCACTGTAATGCATTTAAAATGCGTCATCTACTAGCTGTAAGCTTTGGACAGGAACCACATACTGTTGGCACTATGCTTTAAAATGCGGTGAGATACATAGAGGTTTCTCTGTGGGCGACTCGGTGAATGTTGGCGAATCTACCGTAAACGTGCGGTGCAGAAACTTCTCTCTTGCAACCTTAGTGGGCGAGGATTTCAGACGTGTTTTGATACTTAGAGCAGCGGTGTTTCAACACCTACACAACACAACAGGGCAATCTACAAACTTTTCGGTTGTTTGCTTGAGAGTTGAGCGTGCAAATTGCCTCTGGAAATGTGCATTTCTAGACATCCTCTCCAGAAACTGGTTTTTTGCTTTTTAGAGCTTTTTAGAGAGGTGGCTTAAAGCATACGACTGAAAATAGCAGATGTCACGCAATCAGACAAATTTTCGACCTTTGGGTAAGGTTTTGAGAGTAAATGGTCATCCTTCTCTTATGAATTTTCAGGCAGATGATTACCACTGCACATTCCATATGACCATTCACCGCATTGAAAGTTATACGACGTATGTTTTTTTCTTTCGCCGGCGTGGTACCGGCAAAATACACAAATTGGGTACAGCAGCATGTGCCAGGTAAGTAAGCCGTAGCCTTGAGGTTAGTCTCAAGTACTGAAGAATGTGAAGAAAAAATAAATGAAAGATAACCGGCGATGGCTCACCCGGTGGCCCGGCCACTCTTGTTACCTCGTTCTCTCTCACGGGCTTTTATCCTTCCGTCCTTTTCTCCAGCACGTATACACATTTCGCTTTGTTCCCCTCTTTCGACACCGCAGTTGTACAATACTCATTATGAGTAATCACATTAGTACCTCTAATCGGTTAATTTTGCATAGCAATTCTGTAACCCTTTGAATGCAATAATTAGGAAGGAATTGCAGGAATATTCCAATTACTTTTGAAGTATTATATGATAGTTCCTATTTTTCCACCTCTTTTAATAGAGAACTTTCTTTCTACAAGTTTCCCACCAAGGAATCCTTGAACCAAGTCTCCAACAGGAGGATTAGTGGTTATGAAGACAAGGAGGTTATATTTAGGCCACTCTTATCTAATAAAGGGTGGTGCAAAAGACCCGTCTTGAAACTGGCAGAAAAATGCATTGTTTTGAATATCTGAGATAAGAAAAAAAAAGCAACAATTACTTTTTCAAGTCACAGCCAACTACTTTTCCTCTCGAGTAATCGATTTGAAGACTGTTTAACCCAGAATAATCATAATTGTAATCTGTCACTTTTCGAGTAGCGTGTACAGACCAGACAAAACTACCTAGAAATTCGGTTCCTCCAGAGTCTGGATGGACTCTGGAGGAACCACACAGAACCACACAAAACCACACAAACCACACAAAACCACACACACCACACAAATCCACACAAACCACACAAAACCACACAAAACCACACAGAGTTCGAAGATCGTTATCAGCCACCGTGTACAATGCGCCTCAAGTGTGCGTGTCGAGCTTTATTATTTTGCGAGGGCACGCGTGACAAGCTTTGCCAATTTGGACCGGCGTGTTCGGAGTAGCGGCCGATTAGGTGTAGCGTCTGGGATGACTCGACAGGCTCGGCAATATGGGCCGCTTTTATAGGTCAACATGCCTCGCTTTCGATCATAAATCGAAAGGCATCGTGCATCTTTGTGGGCATCTTTCAGCCGACCGAAAAACGAGCACGAGTCATTCGACACAGCAGACGATATCATTTGCCGGTTCTCCCCTCCCTCTCTACCACGCTCGGTGCCCAGCAGGAGACGAGGCTACAGCGACGTTTTAGCGACGCCCCTACTAACACAAAATTTTTTGCACATATGGTTTTCAAAGGTGCTTAGATATCACCTTTTAGTCTTTTCAAATCAAAAGTGCCGCGGAACCGTGCACGAGCGCGATGTCGAGGCCCCACGCGAGGCACGGGATCTCACCTCTGGAGCGCACACCCCGTTCTTCGGGGTAGCCCACGACGTGCGTGCTGGGCAGAGAGTCCGGGGAAGGGAAGGTCGCCTGAGCGGTCACCACGGGCGTCAGGTCGAGGTAGGCCTCGTCGATGCTCGCACGCTGCACCACTGCGCCAAACTGACACAGCACGGAGAGCACCTCGGCACCGGCGTCCCTGTACCTGCACCAGGGGGAAGGGGGGGTCAGTCAACGGTCGTGGCTCTACACTCGACATCCACTTTTCCGTGACGCATTGTCCAGGATAGAGTAGTGTCGGCAGCACTGCAGCCTCACGCCGCTGTGAGACCACGCGGCTTCGCATTGTGTCTCGGTCGCGGCTTGCAGTTTGCAGCTTCTAATTCTTTGTCCCTTCTCGCACGCACAACTAGCCAACGCCATAGCGAATGTACTAGTTCCGGCCTGCCGCTCGATGGTGCGAAGCTGCGATCGACGTCTCCGAGCCCGCAAAAACAAAGCAAAAATGGCTACCCGCAAAAAGGAGAAGAAGGCGGAGAGAAAAATGGTACTAGCAAAGACCAGAGAAGAGGGTCTGTCAGGAATCTATCCGTGTGACTTTGCGCGCATTGCCATGAAACCGCACTGTTCGCCGAAATACGCATATAACCCGCACTCCTATTTTGCCTTCAATTTTTCATCAATTTTTATGCGGGTTAAACCTGAGAAAATATGATATGTAATGAATGAGGTGGGCCTCGTTACCTCGTTGCTCGACATCGTCTACAATGTCATATGACATCCTGACATTTGAAATCACATTAGATATTATGTCATATCACACTGTCATGTGACACCATTAGATGTCATATGGCATAGGATGTCAAGTGACATACTATCAAGACCGGTTGTAACGAAGTAAGCAAGAATCGGAAATCACTTCGCTATGTCCGCTATTTCGTTATAACAGACTTCGGTTATAACCACGTGCAAAAGAAAATGGGAAATCGCGATCGCTTCGCTGTAGCCGCTATTTCGTTATAACCGACTTTGTTATAACGAGTCTCGACAGTACAATGTCACATGACTCTGGGACACTACGTGACATCACAATATCACATGATGACGCGACGTGTCTCCTTACACGACATCATCCACAATGCCATGTCACGTATTGATGTCACGTGACTTTAACAGTCCGTTGTGACAATTTTTCACGACAATTCTTTGTGAGAGTTTTCTCGTGGAATTCAGTTGATAAAACAGAATCTACGTTAAAAAGGTGTTATTCATGGGGTAATCTCATGACACGTCGTAACAACTTAAAAGTGCATCAGATGTCACCTCACAAGAAGCTCTTTTCAGGTGCAGAGGTGTGAATAAACAGCTGAATGTTGTGGGTTTTGCCTTCGTCTGACTCGCCCAAAAATTAGACGAGCTCGACGTCATTAAAAAAAAAGTGACATTTTGCTATTCTGGCGATTTTTGTAGGAGCAGTATAGGAATCAAGGCTCGCATTTGAGCTTTGATTTCTGGCCACCTATCAATAATATTAACTTACGACATGCACCAACAAACGTGAGACACTCAAACTCATGAGCTTTGACAGTTTCTCCTGCTACTACTTAAAAGCTTATTCGTACGGGCTGTCTCCATGAGCAAGAGGCCCGTGCTTTTATCCTAGTAGTGGGATCATCCTGCTGGTGATTAACATGAAAAACAGGTGGGAAAGAAACTGAAAACGGAACAACACCTAGAGGAAAGAGTCCACAACATTAGACTGTTATATTATGAGCCATTTGCGGTACTTGGACATGTGAAGAGGACTCGCAGCCGCGGGATGCCTGCAGGCCACGTCCCAGCGAGTTGCAGGCCGCTTGTTTGAGACTTCTAATATACATGCATGTGAAATGTTTCTTGCGTAATAAAACTGTTCCTTTTCATAGGTATGCTTTCTAGAAAAGATTTCCAGCTGTGAGTATTAAAGGCCCATTCACACACTTGCAACCGAGCAGGACAGACTGAGACAAGACCGCTTTCAAGCCTCTTGCGACGGCTTGGGACAAAATGCGCTGCTGCGGAGCTGGTCCTACGCCATCACAAGAGGCTTGAAAACAGGCCTTGTCTCAGCCGGTCTTGCTCGGTTGCAAGTGTGTGGAAGAGCCCTTAAAGAGCCTATGCTCAATTCTCGTTGAACGTCAAATATTCAAATTTGATTCTCAGTAAAAAGTTTTATATTTGTACTCTTTTTTTGCATCCTGTTTTCACCAATATACTGGCCTTCACAGGCTTGTAATATTTCAATAGTTTAGTTTTTTAGCTTGTGAGTAATAAATCCAGTCTGCATGTGCCTCCACCTGACATGTGGGACAAATAAGCATTTCCTTAATTAAATTCTGGTAGAATTTTTATCTGGCTTACGGTATATTTTTGGGAGAACTTAGGTTTTACCTTTAAACAACCTTCCCAACCAATATGGTGAGCTTACAAAGTTGCTGCCAGCTGATTGATACTGTCTAATAAGAACCAGGCATGTTGCCAGGGGGGGGCCATGCCCCCCCCCCCCCCCCCCCCCCTGAAATCTTCCATTTTGCTGGGGCCTCCTATCCTCCCTCCCCCTCACACATCATTCTGTCATGGGTGGGCCCCCCCCCTCCCCCCCCCCAAACCAAATCCTTGCTACATGCCTGATAAGAACATTATCGGTGCTACCAAATTTGCACTGTAATGACGCTTTTTCCAGACAAGATGCTGCGATGTAAGGAAGTGCAGAACAGCAAAGTCACAATTCCTCACGTACCATGTGTGACCCAGCGTTCTCCCAAAGCGGTAGGTTTCTTTGATCATGAAACTGCATGACCATGTTTTCACTCTGAATGACGAAATGAGTCCAGAATATCGAATGACTCAAAGTTCCTTCGTTTTCTCTCTGCCATTCTCGCAAACAGAGTCCAGTCAAGAACCCCACCTGTTGTTCCAAGGCACTAGAAGAAATGCACAATGGTGGTGATCATACCTGGTGAGGTCGGCCTTGCCTCGCTGTTCGGGCACCCGGAAGAGGTGCAGGTCCTTGGCGAGCTTGAGGGCCTGCTCGCCTCGCATGCCTCGCTTCACCCCCAGTGCACGGGCCTCGTAGTTCACCGCTATCAGCCTGCGGGAGATTTGTGTTTTTTGGAGGGTCTTAAAGAGATACTACATCGAAATTCCGAAGCTTATTTTTTTATCTATACGTGTTCAAAGAAGCAGCATCACATCTGTTACACCGTGATCTTGTTTAATAAAAAAACCGAAAAGGTATTTTAAAACGAATTGAACGATTAGCAAAGAGCACCTGGTGGATGTTACTAAAGCCTTGTTTGTAATGCTTGTCCAGAACCTCGACAGGTAGTGACGGTAACTGTCTCACATAGAACTATACATGTTTGAACCTGACATCATCCCGACAGCTCTTCAGCCAGCACAAGAGAAGAGGGGAATAGGAACTCCACATTCAACGGGACTCTCTTTTGTGTGTCCCAGACGTTGCTATTGTACCTCTGCAAGATTATAGTGTAGAAGATTAACCCGACACTCAAAATTCACACAAAAGCAACTGTGCGGTTAGTTTCGGTGGCCCGATGACTGGCGTACTTCAGTGGCTGGAACAGCTAGGGCATCCTGACGACGTCAGCCTCGCCTTAGATTTGCTCGTTCCGAGACAAACTACTTCACAATTGCGGCAGATGTCACGTGCTCTCCGCTGACTGATCTCCCAGCGTTTGCCAGAGTGGGCCGTTTATAACAAAAAATACGGCCATCATGCTCGAAATACAAACGTGCGATTGTCATTTACATATCTTGTGGATCATATTCAGCCTATTTCTGAACACGACGGGTATATTTCAAATTTTGTTGAAGTATCCCTTTAAAAGGCCCTTTTAACTACCTACTTGAAGCTCACCCAGCGAGGCTTTGTGCATGACTAGCTCCAGGTTGCAAGGTTGGCCCTTTTTCCATCTCAAACGTGGTGCCACAGGTGGGATCATGCAAGGCCTCAATCGTCAGCACGTGAAACAACCGACTCCTCCTCGGACGTCATAGCAATCGCAAGAACAACCATCATAGAAATTCGCTGGACAACTTTGGGGTATGCAAATCATTCCTGGCACTCATAATTGTTGACTGAAACAGCCTTCGAGGGTCGATAGTCTCGATCACTGACCCTGTGGCTTATTAAAACTCGAATCTCTCGAATTTTGCTACACACCATTAGACTTCTAACGTTTTGTGCCAATTCTACCGTACAGTTTCCTCAAGAGTGTATGTTACTTTTGTTTTCTTGCTTTTTTTCACTCGATTCTATTATTTATTGAATTTCCTCTCGCTTAAATAATACGCCTTGATAAGGAGCACCAAATGAAAAATAAATGAGATTAAATATTCTGACTTCTTCCGACGTATGCACGCCATTTGTCCCAAATTAAAGCCTCGTCTAAAACAGTTCATTACATTCATTTATCTCACCCTTAAAGGCCCAGTTAGGGCGTTATAAAAGGGGGGAGGGTGGGGGGGGGGCAATGTATTGAATAGGACAGTGACACAGATCAGTGAGAAAATATACAAAAATCAAAACAGCAGAAGTTTTAGTTAGGATTCTATGTTTTCGGAGTTTATTTTTCGCCAAATATGGAGGCTGTTTCCTAAAGATTATTTTTCGATGAAAATTCAGAGTTTATCGGGGTTTATTTGTCTTCGATTCCCAACTCTCCAAAATCCGAAATTTAATCTTGCACTGTGTATTATTAAAAAAAAAGGTATAACTGTGTGTAAACATACGCTAGGTTCAAAAGAATGAGCTTGTATCCATCAATATTTCTTTCACTGGATATGCCGCTGGCGCCTTCGCCATTGGCAATATACCAATTTTTCCCACAACCAATGCCAATGTTGCAGACACGTGTTTCATCGGTAAACGTCGGAACCTTAAAATAAATGAACTCCCGCAGGTGGTCGCTGGGGAGCTCATATTCATTCCATCCGTCAACCTACCTTGCGGTCATGCTGAGCAGAGTGGTAAAGGTTGCAATAATTAGGTCTCAACTGCCTGCCCCCTCTTCCACCTTCTATGAAATCTCTATGGTTCGCAGCTTGCAGTGTTATAAAACCACAACCCCTCCTTCCTCTAAGGAGCACTATGGCCCAAACTGGAAACCGGTAGAGAGGCTTTTGTTCTAAACTGGAAGACCCGTTTTAATGATGAACCTTGGCGGGATAAACGGTAAGATTCCTTCTGTCAATGTTCCTAGATTGAAAAGAAAACTAGAGTGACATTTTTTCAGGACCGTGAAAGGGGGGTGCAACGATTTTATGATTAACAGAATTTGCATCTCGCCATTTTTATGTTCTTTATCGTGTCCCAGAGGATACAGAAAACACCTCCTTCATTAAAAATGTCATGATTCCGCAGCATAATCGCAAAGCAAAAGTCGAGCTTTTTCCCCCACCTGCAGCCGCAAGTGGCAGCCGAGGGAACTACGGCGAAAAGATTACGTGACCTCACTCGGCTCTAAGCTGCAGCATAACGCCCGCTAATGTACGCAGAGAGAGGGAGAGGAAGCGTCCTCCGAGAGAGCGCACAGGAAGCTACACGGCACCCCGAACGACTTCACTAGGAGGGGGACCAGGTGTGACCCTGAAGACTGGGGGTGAGTTGAGGGGTGCCCAAAATGCCAATAACTTTTTTTTTTTACGCGACAACTAGGACACGCAGGCGAAATCGGTTTTCTGTTCTTTTTTTCAGAAGTGTCAAAGGGCAACTTCCACAAATTTTTGACGGAAGTCTGGAAATCATTGCACCCCCCCTTTAACCCTGAGACCGTCTCTTTTTTGTTTGTGTGTGTGTGGAGGGGAGGGGGCATTGGTACATAGAAATTCTGAGTTTATTGGAAAAATCCGAATTGACGAAAATTTTACACGGCAGGCGTTTTTTTTATAGTTTTTCGGATTCCTCCATAAACACCGAACCCTAGTTAGAGTTCAGGCTAAGGTCAATCATGCTGCGCAACACCCGAGTCTGCAGGGAGGAAAGTTTCAGAAACCTTCCGGTAAAATGAAGAGACGCAGGAGGTACCGTAAGTGTCTCCTCCCACATCTGCTCCTTTGACTCCGAAGATCCTCGCTCTTTCCTTGCTGCAGCCTAGGGCGTTACCCGACACGACAAACCGTCGCCGGCTCGTCCGCGCACTCGCTGTCTCTTGGGCCAAGGTCGCCGTACGCACCCTCCACCCTGGAAGGTGTTGTACTGCGCCACGGCACATGGCTTCCCTTTCCACTCCGGCGCCAGCCTCTGCTCCACCTGGACGTAGAAGCAATCCATGTCCACCAGCGAGATGACCCGCCGGCACTCCGTGGCCGCCATTAGTCACACCGGGGAGGTGCCCTGCAAGAGAAAAAATCCCGTCTTGACCAGACAGCGAACTCTTAGAAGGTCGGAAGCACCTTGACCAAAACGGAAGAATCAGTTTTGCGAGGAACAGCGTTATTACTATTGTTGCCAACAGCTTAAGAAATGCGCAATTCATCATGCTGACGCTTCTTGCTTCGCGATTCGTTCGTCTGGATTCTTATCAATACAAGCCGCAATCTCGGCGGCCAAGGAGAGATGACAAGCTGCTCCAGACTTGCCGTGCCCTGCACTTCTTTAGCTCTCGGTGTTTAGGAGCATCGGAAAAGTGCAATAAATTAATAAATATTTTTAATAAAATCAGGGGTAAAAATTGGGCGCTTTGTTTCAAGTTGGTATGCTGGGAGAGATCGGGTTTTTCTGAAATTATTTTGCAATTTGGGTTTTTATGTTTATACTTAGAAATAAATATGTATAAGAAACAATAACGAGTACTCATCAGTTCCACTAAATTGAATATTTTTTTGCAACTAAGTCATTAAAGTACACAAGACAGCTTCTAGCCTGATATAAAAGGTCACCTGGTTTTTTAAATTTGTTTATAAAACTTTGTTGGTTCTGCATGCGTGGCATCTCAGTCTCCATCCTATGTCCGGTTTTTGGAAATATCTGAATTGAGAGAACGCTCTCTCAAGATCACAGCTTTTACAAAGCGCAATGTCCTTGGCCTCTGCTGCTCCTGTCGAAAAGAAGCTGCTCATCCTTTTTTTTATTTTGCACTAGTCGAAATGAAAGGGAAGGGTAAAAGATAATTTGCAATGGACATAAGAACAATATTTGGGGACTATCAGTCACTGCAGTTTAATAAAGTCAACAAAACCTAGCATCGTTTCCGAGGTCTGGAGCTGGCGTACGTGTTCCTACTAACTCATCGTTTCGTAGAAAATATTTTCGAAGCAAAGTAATTCAGAAAATGGTGAAACTCACTTTCTGAATTCAAGCGAGAATTGGGCATGGTCTGATTTTCAGAAAACATGTTCAGCATGTAACTATCTGGAAATATTGGGTTTCACTCAAGAACAAAAGGCCTAAGTTATAGAGCAGCAGTCTCTGGAGTTGGTAGCAGCTCATCAGTGTCCTCACAACATGTTAGTGCGTTAGAGGCATGCTCATTATCAAATGCAATCACTCTTCATCACTTAACTTTAAGAAGTGTAGGTTCCCAAACATCACACTTGAAATGAATTGCTTATATTGACTGATACCCAATTGCAGCTCCTTCTAGAAAATCATCCCTGTTTTTGTAGTTTCAAAGTATTTTGTTTTTATCACTTTTTTTTAAAGACGATTACCGTATTTATTCGAATATAAGGCGAGGTTTTTTTCCAAAATCCGTAGACTCAAAGTCATACCCCACCTTATATTCGAAGCTCAGTATAGCAATATGACGATTTTTTCTCTTTTTCTTGGGTCCTTCAACTGCCCCCTCGCCTTATAATCGTGACCGCCTTATATTCAAATAAATACGGTACAAGCTAACAGGGCCACTTTCTTGCTTTTGTACACATCATATGACCCCCCTAGATAGAACAGAGTTCCTCCAAATAAACAGATAAATAAAGGTTGTACACATGGTCACGCCCGTGCAGCAGTGAAAGCAACCTAATTATTAGAATTAGCCTGAATCCACAAAGTATGTCGCAGTCTTGCTCAAGCACTTGCTCATGCAGTCCCACCACCACTTTTTATTGGCAGGCTTTTATTAAAGTTGTACTATACAGCTAAACAATTTGAGCTTCTACGGTTTTAAAGAATCGCAGTTTCGATAACAGCCTCGAGAAGCCATTAACTAAACCAAAAACTCTACCATTTTTATTAATTTTTCAGGTTTCACTGGCAATATCAAAAAGATTTTACCAATGCAAATGTGGTTCAGAAACTTGATTTAGAATTTATTCTTGAAGCAATAGGGGCAAATTTACCGTCCTCGTGGTACTTAAAGTCAATTAAGTCCACAGCTTTTATGCCTACTGTTTCAGCGTGACTAGTACTGTTCTCGGAACCATAGGAATGTGTTATGGAAGAGAAAGATACAACGTACGAGTCAACTTATTAATGATCAGTAGAGTTACAGCACATTTATAGGATATATTGATGGGCAATAACTTGTTCAAGAGAGCAAAAAAATCAGATGATACAAACATATATTCACAGCTCTCATATTTATTAGCAATATGAGTACACATAAGTACAACATTTGCTTAAACTGGAAGAAATCATGTAGCCCCCAAGTAGAATCTAGACATTTATTTATTACAAAAACTATGCAGTGAAATCGGTTGCATGGTAAACATTACAAGAAGAAAACATTTCATTTTCACAAAGCGTGCTTAAAAGTCATTAAATCATTAAAGAAAATACATCACAGACTAAAATATATCTCGTTTACTCGAGTATTTTGTGAGTTTGCCTGTCATTTGCCTGTTCATTGAAGATAACCAACATAAAGCAATTGATTACGCAGAAATCAAAAGGCATGCTTGCATTCACATACCAAGTTTAAAAGAACTGCAAACAGTTCATATCCAAGAACACGGCCCCAAATTATGCAAGGCAATATTGGAAAAGTTAATGGCTAGTACCAACCATTAAAAAAAAGTAATTCCCTGAAACTTGCAGACAACAGAAGCTATGACAGACGATGCAAACAATCTTTAACAGTGGCAAGCCTGAACATGTTTTTTAGCACTGGTTACTTCACCCAGCGTAAAAGCCTTTCCAAACTGCATTATCACGTCTAGAAGGGGCAGTTGCCAAATGCCTGTCTAGGCAAGGCACTTAAAATAAAGTTCACAGTACAAAGTTCTTCACAAGAACCTGAACCAAACATGAAGAATTTTATATAATATTCTGATCACGCTATAAAAGATATTATGTGACCATGCAAACTAACGATTGGTTTAAAACATGCGCTATGCGATTGTCTAGCAAGCGCAGAGAGCCAAAAACCCGTTTTGATTAGCCTGAACCCATCCTTAAAACTTGCTAAAAAAACAAGCATGTTTGTTTTGCTAGTCAATTAAGTCAGAGACTGGTTAACTAGGCAAAAAGACATCTCTGAAATCAGCCAATATTAGGCCTAGTGTGTCGCATACTAAAGAATGATTAGGATTGCTTAAAGGGGCGGTGCAACGATATTCAATTGGAATGTTTTTCATTTTATACGAGCTTACTGGCACCAGTGGGACTCGAGGATACTCGCACGCAACGCCACTGACCAAAAACCTTCTTTGTTGCGGTCTAATTTCAAAGACAAAAGCGATCATTTTCATTCAATCTCTCCATTGCAAAATGTGGTGACGTAACGTGGGGATCGCAGCACACCCCAATGACGATACCCGAGCACTGCGTTGGCACTCGATTTGGGCTCGTGATAATTACTAGCTCGAGAAGCATTCGGGTAGTCGCCCTTGTCCAATCGCTGCAACGACGACAATAGCCAAGCCATAACAATGTCTGGAACTCAGCGCGTGTCCTGTGCCTTGCCAACCCCAACGCGTGGCTATGATCAACATTGGCGGCATATAAGTGCCTCCAGATCACGTGGCCACTTGTTCTGGCTGCGAGTTGAGGGGATGAACGCTGCTCGTTTTTCTTTAATTTTTTTTCGGGAACTTCTATTGCATGGGGTGAAAAACGAACGCGTGTTTTATAGGTCATTATTGTCAGAGATCTGTTCTTAACGGTATTTGCGCAAAGTACAAAAATTGTTGCGTTGCTGCTTCAAGGTTAAGGATTTTAAACAAGGATCGTATTAACCAAGGAGTCTCCCAGCGGTACCCCAGGGGTAGGAAGAGATAACTTCAACTATCCAGCCATATAAAATAAAGCAGTGCTCCAGCTTAGGCAGTTTTAAGCCCCTACTTCGTACAAATGAAAATAAAACTGCCTCGCGGGATTGTGCTCTGAATCAGTGCAGTCCATAAGTGTGCACATTTTAAAGATGTACAAATGCCGATGTAGAGTTTTACGGCCATTCAAGTACATTGAGCTCGAGACCACTTTGGTAACGAATCCAGAGGAAAAATGAATGCCTTCCAAATCATGCCCTAGATGCAGCTTTGGTGCGGAACAACGTGCATGTTAAGATTGCAGTGAAAGATAGCAGTGACATCACATATCCAAAGGTACGAAAACGGCACAAGAAACATGCTGCTTGGAAAAACAAATGCACCTGGCACGGCAGTGGCAAGAACCCATTGAGGAAGGACCTTCACACCACTTGCCCCGCATCAATGCACGCCTCAATCCAAGAAGGCTCGACAACCCGGAGACCTCGGTGTGCTGTTGCGCTCTCGGGAACGACTGGGGCGTCGGTGGCCTCTCGTTCTTCCTCTGTACCAATCTTTTCTTCCACCTTACCGCCTTGCAACCTCACCACCGCCTTGTTGAGCCTGCTGCCTGCACCCTCGAAGTAGAATCGGTGATTCCTGAACACCCCCCAACTCGGGACAGAACCGAAATTCTCCCTCTCGAACCGGGCCACGAACCCGACGGATGGAGCCACAGCGGCACACTTGTCTGCTGGAATCGTTTCAAAGAGGTCGCGAAGTGACTCGGCGGTTACTGGCACCGTGTAGCTGTCGCCCCACTCATCGAACGCAGCCTTGAGCCGTCGCTCCGTGTCCGCGCTTCTAGCCAGAAGGTCCCTCGGCTCCCAGAGATCCACACGCTGTGCCTCCAGGCATGCGAGGAACCGTTCCGCCTTCACAACATCCCAGAGCTTCTTCTGCACCAGGTTGCTAACCTTGAAGTTGATCTTCTCTGCGACGACGCAGAACGTCCCCTCCCTCGGGTTTTGAACCGGGGTACCTCCGGATTCCACGACGATCCGCTCCAGGTCTTGCTTGCTGCGCCTGCCGCAGCCGGTCACGACGCATATCTCTTTCCCATCGAGGACGTTGAGCTTCGTCGCCGTCTTCGAGAGGTCCGCGGGGCGGAAATGCGGAGCAACCATCGGCGTTGAGAGCCGCGTCCGCTTGGCCGGCGATCCGTCATCGTTGAGGGCAGTCGTGGCCAGTTTCCCTCCGGCCACCCTGTCAAGTTCTGTCAGGTCTGCAAACGAGAGTGCATCGTGCCAGGGCTTGTCGTAGCGCACGGCGCTGACCCTCGGGAAGCGGAGCGTGATCCCCGTGCGGAACTGGGTACTCCGTGTCAGCTCCGACGCCTTGACTTGGAGCACTACCGACTCACAGGGCTCCACATACAAATCGGGCTTCTCCTTGTGGCCTGGTGCGAGCACCACTCGCTCCGGCGGCTTTCTCGGGTCGTAGACCTTCCACTTGGGAGTCAGCCTGGAGCGGAGGTGCTCCAGTTCACTGTCGCTGTAGCCCGAACCCACCTTGGCGACCGACCAAAAGCAGACGGGAGTGCCGTCTTCAGCTCGCTCGTCGCCCGCTACCCCCAAAAGAAAGTGCGAGACGTCTCCGCCGCGCCGACCTTCCCCAAAGTACCCTCCGATGACCAGAAGATCCAAGTCGGACACCAGGCTGTCCACGTATTCGGGCTTCAGCTTCAGCCATCCGGCCTTCCTGGAGTTTGGCTTGTAGACCGACGAGACGCTCTTCAACACAACCCCTTCCTCCAGGCGTTCGATGGACTCGTTGAGGAAGCGTACTGCGTCCTCTTGCGTGGAGCCCTTCCGTCTCCGTGAGATCTGAATCCGGCCTGGCACTTCCGTGAGGGTGCTGTCGAGGAGTGCGGCCCGTTCCTCCAGAGGGCAGTTTGTGACCACCCGGTCGTTGAGGAAGAGGATGTCAAAGGCGACGAAGCATGGCTGTAGCAACGAGTCTTCGCGGAGGCTCTTCACGTCAACGTTGGAGCCCTTGCAGACAAAGTTCTTGCGGACAGGGTCGTAGGCAACCACTTCGCCGTCGAGGATGCAGTTTGACACGTGGCTGCGGAAGGCACTCGAGATGAACTGGGTGAGCGAGCCACGGTCCGTCAAGCTGCCGAACCCGGCGCTGTAGTCGTGGCTGCCGCGCGTAAAGTACCTGCGAGGGTAGGATAAAGATTAACTGGGAGAGAAAGATTACAATTAACTGTGAGGACACAATTACATTCTGTGAGGACACGACTGCAATTAACTTTGAGAACAAGATGACAATTAACTACAAGGATATGATTACAATTCACTGTGAGGTCATGATTGCAATTAACTGCGAGGAAAAAATTAAGTCAATGGCAACAACATTATTACAATTAACTGTGAGGACATATTAAACACAAGGATATTATTTGAATTAACTAGGTGGCAATTGGGAGAATGTTGTAGAGCAGAGGTTTATCCAAAATTTTCCACCGGGGGGTATCAGAACTTTTTGGGGGACTGTAGGGGGGTGTGGGGAAAGGGGATGTAGCCTTGTATGTGCTTTGCGCAGAAAATTTTGGGGGAGTGTCGGGCTCAACCTGGGGGGGTGTTGGGGGGGTCTCTATAAACCACTGTTGTAGAGCAAGCTACCGACGCAACTTAAACTGACAAGGAAATCGGTTCAGGATTGAGCATGAGGCAATACAGACATCCGGCACTTCAACGCAGGAGCAAGTGCACTGCACTTGAACTGGTACTAGCTGATGTTCTGTTACGGTGATAGCCATTATTGGCAAGGTTTTGAAGTGGATTTTGTGTGTGTACGTACGTGACGGCCTGCTGAATTTAATGGGAAAATTTGTGGGTTGAAATTTTGTTCCTTAAATTCAGTGGGGAATCCGTGTAATTACATTGCGATTTCACGATGTCACAATTTTACCGCTATATTTAGCGGGGAATCGGTATAAAGGGGGCAGGTAAAAAGAAGGCGGCAGATACTGCAGTTGGTTCGGCATGTCTTTGTCAGCACTGACACAGACAAAGGTGTGATTGCTTATTAAGAGACATATGAGAAAGAGAACAGCACATATGATTCAGACAGACTGATTTACAGAATTAATGATTATTCATGTGCCACCATAACTAATATCTTTATTTTTTGCTGATTTCTTGATAAGTATAACTTTTTGTATGTGCCGTCTATTTTGTTGTAGCAGGATTCAATTGCATTCTCTTGTGATGACTGCAAAATCATGAGCAGCAAACTTTCGGCCCAGGCAGATATCTAGCTTGGACTGCTTTAATGCCCATCTACCAGTTGCCCTTTCCTATCTCACAGGGTGTTTGCAAGCGCTATTTCATCATACACACAAAAAAAGATTTATACAAACAAGTTAAAATCAGGAGTACAAAATGAAACTTTACATATTGGCACCTTTAGCTCATGCATTTGACATATGCAAATTTTGTAAGTGTAGGCTCATGAAAACAGCATGCAAGAAAAATCTTGCGCAGCTAGAAAAAAATTACCAAACTGTGCAGTGGACACCACACTCACAGAGGGGCAACAAATTGTAAATTGGGTTGTGTGTGCGTTTCTACAGCCTGAACGTAGTCTGCCTCAAGAGGCGAATTATCTCTCAGTGGTAGATGAGCAGTTTAGCCAGTACAGTACAACCACTAGCCTGGGGTCTTTAACGTGCACCACGCTGTAGTGGTACACGACCACACGCCGGTACGATGCTCATCCAGATCGAAACGGGCAGGGGTGGGGATGGAACCCAGGATCTCTGGGTTCTGCAGCGCGAGCTTTTGCTCCATGTGCTCCGAGCTGATGTGTGCTAGCCCACACAGCCACCGATACCCCAGATGGCACCGCATAGCACAAATACTCGAAAGCTTCTTCAAGATGAATACCCAAAAGGAGATCCAGAAGATTTGAGCGTGTGTGATGTCACCTCCGAGTAGAAACATCATCCAGACGGTTCGTTTATATTCTTCTCTCCGTGTATGGGAATAACAGATTTCCCTTTCTTCGAATTTTTTTCGAGAAACTAACACCCACGAAATTTGACTATGATAAATGCAGTACTCGAAGACACCTCCGTGAAAAGTTTCCTTTTACTGTGTTCATTGGCTTATTTATGGGTTTTCTTTTTTCATGGCTGAATAGTGCCCAGAAACAAACTATATATCTAAAATAAAGGGTAGAACACCCACAAAGTCAAAGGCTCGAGACCACAGCGCAACGGAACGCATTGTGCAGACAGAAAAAGCCTCTACCAAAGCAAGGCACTTATGGCTGTTTCTTGGCTAAGCACGACGTGTGCAGCTACCACTGACTGATTTGTTTGCTACGTCCTCAAATACTGTTCCTCAATTACCACCCGTCGTAAAAGAACCACGCAGTCGCCTGCTGGAGTCCTGGTGGTGGCACAGTGGCCGAGATAGATGCGGCAGGCGCCCGTCCTGCCGTGGCTCACTCCGAGCTCCACCGTCCACGGAAACGTCTTCAGCGACACTTGCGTTTACTCTTCTTTTTTTGCCGGAACTTCCACGACTACGGCACATGTTACTGGATCAACTCGGTTGTGGAACTTTCACAAAGAAGCGAATCCCTCCCTTCCCCCACCCAAAGGCCACAATCTGTCCGTTTGAACCACCGTCCAGAAGCTTCAATTCAAAACTAGATTCTTCGGAGACGCCATGGCGAAGCGGCGTCTACACGCCGTGCTTCAAAACCTGCGTGTCATGTGGAGTTTGCCCTAGTTACCGTGGCGGCCGTCCTTAAAAATGGTGGCACGTCGAACGACGGGAGGCAATGAATGCTTTGGGGGAGGGGTACCGTTTGTGGAAGCAGCGTCTATGGGCTGTTTCATAACCGAGTTGACCTAGCAACGCCGACACTGATTATTTGACAGCGTGACGCGCCAGCTCCCACGACGCAATTTCTTGCCACACGTGGACCACTTTCGACGCTTGGGCAGTACGGGACGCTAAGCTCACGCGTCGAAGATGCATTCGAGGCACCGCATATAATTGGGGCGAGGCGAGTAAAGAAACGAAAAGTAAAATACCTCAGGCCGCTCCCGCACTAGCATTGCAGGCTTAATCCAATCGAAAATAGATTAAGAGGGTAAAAATCAATAAAAACCTGGCTTAAAATACCGCCCCATAAAAAAAAAAAAAGTGAAACTAAATGAGGGAGCAAGCCCAGAAATGTGCAGCTCCTGGTTGTTTGGGTTCTCTTCTCTTTATCGGTTTCTCAATCTTCATTGCTGGTTGTTCCTTCTTTAAAAAGCAACGAGGACCAATAAAGCGCTATACTCGAGACGGAGCTAGAGGAAGGGAGTGCCGCACCTGAACTCCCCACCCTTCTTGTGCACCTGCAGCCTCTCGCCGTCAAACTTGGTCTCGGCGAAGAACGCCTCCCTCGCCAGCCGGCGCTCCACCGTGCGCGGCTCTGCCCGCTCAGCGAGCATGGGACGCACGGGGCTGAACAGCGCCACCTGGGCCTCGTGCTGGCGCAGGTTCGGGTCCCTGAGGTCCCGGCACACCCTGGCAAGGCTGCTGGTCACGTCAAAGAGGTCCTGAGCATCTGGGTGGTAGCAGGAGAGCACTGTCGCCGTTCTGAGGCCAGTGCGCAGGTCGCGGAGGATCATCCGCACCAGCCACTTCTGCTCCGTCGCGGAGGTGTTCCGGAGCAGCGAGCAGAGCGCGTCGCGGACGGCTCGGCTGCCCTCGGGTCCGCCGAGCGCGTGCGCCGCAGAGACTCGGTCTAGGAGTGCATTCACCTGGGTCGGCAGCATACGACGTTTTTAGGTCGACTTACTAGGGAATGTGAATTGTGATCTAACAGAATTATATCTCGGACAATATCAATCTCTCCTCTTCACACCTGTTGTAATCCTCCTCTTCTTGGGCAGCATTGCTGCCTGCAGTATTTGTAAATAAACCCGATAAAAATACTACGGGTTACAAACCTGGGACATTGGAGGGACAACAGCACTACCAAGTGAAAACAAAACTTAAATGTGCCTTAATTCTATGGACAAAGTCGAGAGACAGAATGTGTGGTGGCAGGTTGCATATATTTTCTTCCTGACAATTAATTATCATCGTTATATAACAAGGGTGGCCAGGCTGACCCGGCCTAAGAGCCTCAAAGAAAATCAGGGAATTTCCAAGAGCCGCGGGGGGAAGGGGGGGTCAAATTTTTGTCTAGAGCAATAAATGAAACTCGAACTACTTCCAGTCTATCCAAGTCGAAAGCAATCCAGCTGTACATAAAGCAGTAGCACAGGACTACCGAACCGCAACCTATCTTTCAATTTAAAATGCGTTCCATTTCTCTTCTTGGGTAGCTGCATCCGCGTTACTTCTTCGTCTGGTCGTCGTTTCGAGCTGTTTTTAATTCTGAAGGAAGTGCTCGTGTGTCCGGGAGGGAGGTGGAAGGGTGGGTGGGGTAGGGGAGGAAGTTGCGAGCCGCACTTGAACACGCGAAGAGCTGCATGCGGCTCGCGAGCTGCATGCAGCTCGCGAGCCGCATGCTCGCGTTACCCCTGTTATATAATACTAACTTATTTATAATTTGGCTTAATTTTTTTTTTTTTTTTTGTCACAACAGGTTTTTGTGATGCCCATTCATAACATAACACTTGCCTCATGAAAATCATACCTATAACACATTATTTGTTAAGAGGCCTTCTCAGCTGATAGGCTCGTGTGCACAGAATTGAAACGAAAGCAATAGATGATGGGCCTAAAACACCCAAACTTTGCTGTCTTCCTCAGTCCTTTATCTACAATCAGATTGGCCTAGTCATTCGCAATGTTAGAAAAAGGAGGAGGTTTTCGAATGTTCCGATGGTAGTGCAAGTTACGCACGCTCCAAGCTTGCACAACAAGACCTCCCGGCCATTTCAAATTTGTCGAAGACTGCAGTGAGAATTCAGAAATCAGAACCCATTGGTTTGTGGAAAAGGTGTGCATAAATTGGGGGTAGGTAAAGAAAAAAAAAACACCGTGATGCAAGCCCCCTTCCCCCCTCTCCTTTTTATTGCACTGCATTAATCAGAGAGCCTGCCAAGCTTTCTCTAGGGCTTGTTCTGTTTGCCATACAGTTTCTGTGCTGTTTGACTGCCACAAACAATCAACCCACAAGGGTAGGTTTTTTTTCACATTCATATAATGTTCGCACTTATAGTTTATGAACAAGTTTCGTAGGTTCAATGAAAGAGTCTTTCGGAGGAAATGATGCCGCCATCAGAACAGCTGACGCACTGGTCCCGTAAGAACCAGATGGGGGAAAAGGTCCCAGAAATAAAATTTTGGTGACATATTTGCAATCTATCTATTCTGCAGCTGGATGGTTGGCTCCAGCACCGGGAAGAAGAGAATAGCCATAGCACATCTTGTTTGTAAGCATTCAAATCTTGGTTAAAAATTGTTTGAGGAAGCACATAAAAAAAAGGGGCACTATTTTTTTCTGGAGTGATTCCTTTCTTTTTTGAATTATTGGTTTAGAATTTCGGGGCATAAAAATAGAACCTACACTCTCGTACACCACGTCACAGACCTCTGCAGTGCTGACAAAGGCAGGAGAAGGAGCGCATGACTTTGGTAAGTGCCTTCTATGCACAAGCCTTTGTATGAACGAAGCATTCAGATGAACTTGGCGAGGCTTACACGCCCGTGCCTTTGTGAGCTCTGCAGACGTCTGTGACATGGAGTATAAGCCATTCTGCATAAAATGTGTTGGCAGTGACTACTCGAAGTCCAACTTCAAAATAACTTCAAAATTATTTTGAGGTCTATAATGCCACTTCCGTAAAATGTGAAAATAGCTTTTAAAACGTTTTGAAGTCCCCTGCCAAAATAAGGAGCATTATTATTCTGACGTTTCCCCTTCAACGTAGTCATCACAGTCATAGTCGTTTCATTCTGTTTGGTTGTGGAAAGTGTTTTCGGTGTTGCATCGACGGAGCGATGTGTCGTTGTGCCTAAGAATGTCTCATTCCCGAGTGAGTGCCCGAACACTAGACAGTTAAAACAATCCCTTTCGGGTGTGGCAGTGACATCGGCTGGCAGCGATGCTGCCCTTTCCCAAGTCTTTTCAGAGGGGACTCTTTCATAGAAATGTCTGAACAGACAACGAAAGTGAGTTGGATATCCCTTTATCTTTTGTCTACATGTAATGAATGTAAGTGCATTCACTACGTGACACTGAGGGCTCCGAATAATTTTTGTACCTCCCATTCCGTGCGAGCGCGTCTTTAAAGGGTTGCGAGGCAGTCCTGCCGGTCTAACTTTGCATCTCGTTCGTGGGCTCGTCGTTTCGTTCAGATTTTCTTTTTGTTTCTGCGTGACGAGTCTGGGGCGGCTTCTAAACAATCGGGACGTTGAATAAAGTGTTGTGAATGCCAAGGCTGGGCAGAGATGCTCAAAAGAGTATTCCGGAATACCAATGCCAAGATACATTTGTTTTAGGCCGAAATACAGATGCTGAGATACTTTTGTCTGTGATGTGATGGGATATCCCTTAAAAGCTTCTGCAGAAATGACAAAAAAAGGGAATGCAGATAAACATACAACCAGAAATACATCTTTTCCCAAACCGCACTATCTACGAAGGGAGCAGTTTGTGGCAAACGCAAATGGTGGTACTTGTGGTTTGGTTACTCTGCGATATATCACGCTTTCATTTCAGATTTTCCCCCTGTAGAAGGGGTTATTTGACGGGTTCATAGTATGAAGTTTGGGACCCCTGGCGCCAAAAAGGTGATTTTCAGTTTATCCTAAAATCTGTGCCTGTTCCTTTGACTAAAAGTCCTCCATTTTCTTCACCACAGTCTCAGGTGTTAAAACGATATGCTTAGCTACGAGCAGCTCGCCTGCGCCTTCAGTCTTTCCGTAAAATCCAGACAGTTGACGTCCGACAACAAATGTAACGAAATATGTAAGCATGGCAGAATATTGCAATACAAGCAATACAACGTAAATGTATTTCACTACTGAGACACAAATACATTTCTTAAATACAGTATTTTCCGGGCTACAGTCCGCACCTGGTGTATAGTCCCCAGGGGCCTATTTATGCCCCCCAAAAAAGTTTTTGCTCGGACAGTCTGCCCCGGTGCATAGCCTGCACCTGGTGCTTCGTCGACTGGAAAACCTTTTCATAGATGGCACACCTTGAGAAATGTCTGGTTCTGAGCTCAGAAAGAAGCTTGTATTAGATATAAATAATCAATAATATATTGTAAAATACTGGGCAAGTGCCCACTCAAACTTTGAAAATAATTACAAAAAATGGGGGATGGGCCCTTGTCCGGTCATCAATTTTACATATAAATGTACTGTACATATTTTCTCAGATCTTACAAATTTGGGAATGGGCGCTTAATGTGGACTGGGCGGATATGGGGTATTCTACGGTACTCTTTCAATCAGGAAATCCGCACAGCCTAAAATTTCAACTTTTAAAAATGTATAGTCAGCAGACTGTAGCCCGGAAAATAGGGCATATCTCGAGACAGAAATACAGATACCTAAAAGTATCTCTAAAGATACTATTGCGGTACATTTGGACCGCGATACTGCCCAGCCCTGCCAAACGCAAACATCGCCTCCATGATGTTTTTTGACCGCTGCAAATGAACAAAAAGGCACACCGAGCAAAACATTAGCTAGCAGTGTGTTCAATGTGCATTTTTCGACGCCAAAAGAACTGCAATTTTTGTGACCCGATTGTTGCAGAAATTCAGAACTCCCATCGTCTGTTACACACCGACTCTTGTTTACAAACAACCGGATCGCTTCTGGTGGAACGTTAACGACACCGCGCGTGCGCGATGGGGTGCAAGCCAGAAGTGGCGCGTTTTGCATCAACAAACCATTGGAATGTAATGTCGATGGCGTCGATGTCAGTGCCCATGCTCTTCTTCGCATTGGAATTGTTGATTCTATGTTTTCCTAGCAATGTCTCCCTACAGTGCAATCCACCTATAGCGATACCAGATATACCGATGTACTGCTTGTAACGATCAGTTTCTTCAGTTTCTAGGTTAGAAACGCTCAGTTTCTGGTCCAGGTACGACAATAATCGGTTATAACGGTTGAGCTTTCGGGTTTCCTTATTATCGTTATAAGTGGATTGCACTGCACTTTAGTTACCCGAGCGAAACTAACGAGACCCGTTACATCGCAAACATTTGCGGAGATAATGTTGAGTGCGGCGATTCATTTTGCGTGAACGCCGCAGGATGGACGGTAAAGCCCGATTCCCATTATGAGATTCTGCTCGCTATTTTCAGTCACGATGGCGCTCGAACTGCAAAAGCGTGGGCAGTAGCTGCGATGGTCAACGTCTATACCAAATATTGCAAGCAGAATCGAACTAACTGAATAAGGCATAAGTCCATGATGGCCACTGGCAACCACAATCAACATTTCCTTGGATCAACTGTTTACACCGAGCCTATTTACCCTGAACAACCTTCAAACTTCAAAGTCATTTAAGGCCCACAATTCTTATCACAACGTTTGGTCTACTGGCTGCTCTCGTTTGAACAAGCAGACAACGGTTTAAATGAGTTCGAAAGAGCAGACGACAATTTGAACAATCAGACGGCCATTTTAACGTGAAGATGCACTTAACGTGGTCTGCGGGAGGTCTGGACAACTAGATGCTTTTGCGGCGTTCATGCTAGAACAAAACAAATATACCTGACAAATTCAAGTATACGTGAATTCAATCCAAAGGTCTTCACGCACAAGCAAACATTACGCAAAACTTGATGGCTCGGTTATGTTTTAAGTTCTCTTGGATTCCGGATCGCTTAAAAAATCTGATTATAAAAACTGCAGTCAATTCCACCATGACTCTTGTTGGAAAAATGTGTGATGCCGACTGCAAGCTGGGTGATAATTCTTTTTATCTCCACTTTCTATCAAAATAGTGCAGTGGTTGTTTTGACAAGGGACGTCCAAATTACATAAAAAATATTTTATTGTTTTTAGAGGGGTTGTCACAGATGTCAAAATAATAGTATATTATTTTGACGGTGGACATCGAAAGGGCCACTGCAGAATGTGTTCACAGTTAAGAAATCTAAAGAACGAGGAATATATAACACTTTACACATAACACATTCTGTCATTCAAGAATCTAGCTTTTACAAAAGCATAGTTCCCCAACTTCTGGAACGAAAAACATGTTCGCATTCCATAAACTCGCAAGCGACTACGACAGTATCTGAAGCAAGAGGCTTGTACTAGATCTCCGACCTCTCCAATTGGTGATTTCTTAATATGGTAGATTTGAATGTTGAGGTTCTTAGTAATTCGAAGGATCATCAACTTGTGCCCTACCATGTAAACTGTTCCATCAAAACCTCCTCTCCACAGTGCCATCTTTTGCATTTGTGTGCATAGCAGGTGCCATTGCTCGCAGTCTCAAGTGAGACAACGAGCAATGATGATGATGTCGGATGTCGCCAGTATCGCAACATCCAACGTCGTGACAGGCTGGCTCTTGTGACAATGTTCGTTGCCACTGTGGGACTACTTTGGAAGCTAAACAACCCAGGAGGGCTAGGTTGCACATTTACATGTACATTTTGAAAGGACACGGAAGTGCCGTAGTGGCACCTGATTGGTGGAGGCAATTATCTCCACCAATCGGACGCTGATACGTCACTTTCGTGACCTTTTAAAACTTAGATGTCCCACCTCGGTGCCCAGCTAAAGACACGCTCTAGGCAGCGTAGTGGTACGTGAGAGTCGTCCTCGGCCCTTTGCCCGCACTTACCTCCGCCAGGCTGAGGGAACCCTTGGTCGGGCACCGGTGTCTCAGCACGAGGTACGCGACGCTGGCAAAGTCCGCGGCGCCCGCGCGGACGACCTGCGGCGCCTTGTAGTGCAGCAGTCGCTGCGCGTCGGGACTGTCCTTCTGCAGCGCGAGCACGTCGATGTAGAGCCTGGCCAGCGTGGCCTCCTTGATGCCGTACGCGGGCCGATCGCGGTCAAACTGCGGCAACAGCAGTCGCATCGCTGGGAAAAAGGAGTCGTCGCCGCCGTCCCCGCCGGCGTGCAGACTGGCGTGGAAATCGCGCCAGTACGCGATGTAGTCGGAGAGCAAGCGGCGCTTCTTGGCCCTGTCAGGCTGGCCGGAGACCTTCTCGCAGAGTTTGCAGAGGTCGCCGAACGGGACCTTGTCGGCTACGGTGCTCATGCTGGCTAGGGATGGCGCTGGGGACAGGCCAAGTGCGCGAGCGCTTCGCCAGACCAAAATGACGGGGACGTATGTACACCTACCTAGGAAGGCCAGTCCCAGCGGCGGTTGCGATAGAGGAACTGTCCGATCGTGACTCGTCGGTGCGGCGGCGTACGATGCGCTGTCATTGGCGCGTTTTAAATGGATTCACTGGAGAATGGTTAAGGCCAAAACGTCCTCGTTGCCGCCGCTTGTTTGGGTCGCTAGTTTTGCCGCCTCCCGCCTTCACCGAGCCCAGCTTGCAAGGCTTGCAAGTTGCAAGCGAGGACGGCGAGGACAGCGAGGAGACGACTTCGATGTTGGATTCAAAGCTATTAGGCGATCCAGTTGCTGCCACCGGGTGGTAGCAACGACTACCGGAACGAAATCCTTGCTGCCACCCGTGACGTCGTATCCGGTATAATGTAGCCGCATATAACTAGACTTTATTTGTGATATGACAAATATCTGGTAGGTTTATAAACTGTTTATATAGCAAATGCGCGACCTACCCGGAAAAAGCATTGCTTTAAAAAAATCAGAACGACTGCACTGCTACCCGACAACGCCAGGTAGAAGCACTGCGCCTTTTTGTATTTTTACCGCGCCTAGTTTATATTTTTTTAGTTTTATTTAGGTTTATAAACTGTTTTATAACCAACGCATAATATATTCAGCAATATTAATGCTCTTTGAAAACATTAGCGACTGTGAGCGACTGCCCGACAGCGACAGGCGGCAGCACCTGGTTAGGTGGATGGATGGTAATGGCAATACCCTTTGTAACGGGCGGCAGCTTGCGCTACCTAGCCAAACATTTTGTCATCTCAGCAGTATTATGCTTTTGATATCGATTGTGTTGGCCTTGTTGGAGGGAGTTGGTTGGCGCTGGTTCCTTTGTTATGGTGTACTACCTTTGGGGCATTTGGTTGCTGTTCTGACGTTTCGACTTTGAAGCTTGCGAGTGAGACCTGTGAGAATAAAGCCAAACCTAGAAGCCCGAGCCCCGAGCTAGACCGCGGTGCTGGCTTTGAGACGTTCCTTTCTTGCGCGAGCGTTCGTTTTGCCGACGAACTTTTCAAAGCTGAGGTGTTGAGATCACAGTGGTCTAGACCCCGTGCTCTCGTGCTTGCAGCACTGGCTGCTTCTAACTATAGGAAGTATCCACTGGCGGCCATAGCTGTGTGCGCGACTCCTGAGCGCGTGCTGATGGCGAACTTCCACAGTTCTTTTGTAACGTGCATTCCGCACCCTCAAGATTGCCGGTCTTGGCAGCCTATTAATGTGAGCTCGTTCTGACCATGCGCTCTAGACAGCACCCACAAATATGACGCCCAGTTAATACTCCTTATACTATGTTTTGTAATTATCGTGCAACGCCGTCAAAGTGACTGGCGCGAGCGCGTGGCTTCATCTACGGTTTTGCTTGCGCGAGAACGCGAGCAAATGATATATCAACGAGATCAAGCCCCATGCTCGCGCCAGTAACTTTGACAGCGTTGCACACTAAGTATGAAACAGAATATAAGCTCAGTGCAAGCTCAGTTTGGAAAGAATAAAAGAGCCGAGACCGTTGGGACAAGTGACCAGAAGTTCCGACAAGGCGTTGGTCCCGACTTCGGCGGTGCAGTCCCGCCTTTTAGGTCTCAATCCCGTTGTGCCAAGCACCCATGGGACGGTGCGCGTGACTTCATCTACCGCGTGGTGGATTTGTCGTTAGCAAGTAGGATACGAGCTATCCGGAGACTATAAAATATTAGTCGTAGCCATTGCTTGTCAAGGCTTGCTCGGGCCCGCAGCCTTGACAACGCTGTACACTAAACATGAAACAGAGTAGGCGGATCAGTAGCCGAGAGGGCTAGCGTAATAATAAAGGCGTTTTGAAGCGCACAGGAAACGTGTCACGAGCGGGTGCTCCGCCGCCATTCGCTCCGAAGGGCGGGGCCGACCATTTGCTGCGCCGACATCGAGGGACTTTAGGCTAGCGCACACTAGGTAATAGACCTATTGATATATTACCCAAGCATCAAGGAGAATGCAGGGATTGGTGTTACACGCGCGACACGCGCACGCCTTCCCCGTATAAAAGATTCGACGTAACTAACCAAAATAAAGCGTTGACGAACGCGTGTGCAAGATGCCATTTGTTTTAGGTATTTGCTTTAGAAAAGTCACTAATGCTGAGGCCAGCACGTGTGGCGCGCGGAACACCAATCCCTGCATTCTCCTTGACGCTTGGGTAATAAAACAAATGGTAGATCGGATCGTGGTAAAGTAGCGTCAAGCTCCTCGTACGCTCGCCATTTTGGCCCAATTGAAATGAACAATTTCTTCTTGATCTCCATTCTTGGGGAGCCGATCTGAATTTTCTGGTGACGGGTAACTTTATTGACTCGTTTTTTGTATACAGAGATTTTGCTCTCCACACACCGGCGAAACAAGCGTACATCTCCGTACCACCACGACAAGCAAAAAGCCTAAAAGCATTAAAAAAAGATATACATATATTTTTTTTTTCTGTTTTGAAATATTCAAGAAGAACAATATAATTGTAAGAGATTCGTGGACATGGACATGTTTGATAAGTTGATTGCATATATACACTGCCAAAGACGCTTATATTGGCGAGGAACGCCTTCAGTAGGACGATGCTACATATGCTGATCTTGGTGTGAGACGTTAAGAACAACCCTCTGGAAGCTTCGAAGATTTAAAGGGGTCGACATGCTGATTGTCATGGCAACGGAAACCGATTAGGCAATCGCCTTGCGAGGGTTTGGTCGTGTATGTTAGTATTTGTTTGTATTCGGCTAGCAGACGTAGGAAGGCAATGGCGCTACTTTCCCAGGATCCAGTGACTCCAGGACCCAGTGACTTTAGCGCGCATCAGCCCGCGGAGCAAGTGGAGCAAAAACTCGTGCTGCCAGAACCTAGGACCACCTGCTTGTTTCGATCTGGATGAGCATCGCACGGACGTGCGGTCGTGTATCACCACTGCGTTGTGCACATTGAAAGACCCCAGCGCTAGCAGTACTGCACTGATATTTATCACTTACAGCAGGAGGCACGTCGCCCCCGTGAGGCACACCAACATCCCTGCTGTCTAGACATATATCAATACAATCCCCTTTGGAAACGCAAATATTCACTGACGGCCATGGCTGCGTCCTCTGTATATCAAGCAGGTGTTGGCATCGAGTGTTCGCCAGATTCCATTGCTTTACCCATATCTCGTCCTCACCCTAAACATGCGAGCATGCGTGGCTTATCGCTCGCTCTTGCGAATGGAATACTGACCTTGTTAATTAAGGTCATTTCAAAGTCAGGATCAATGTTTTTCCGAAGCAAATGATGTGCCTTCTGAAAACATAAAAGCCATCATATAATACCAAAGTACCTTTGCACAAGCACTATACTTCGTTTCACCTTATGCTGTACCGCAGAGAAGGCTAGGAGCGCGAGCTCATAGCGTTGGGAGCTTGTGCCGCCGAGACGTGCCCTAGAGCAAGGAGCTCGCGCTTGTAGCCTTTCCTGCGGTACATCATAATGTGAAACAGAGTCTAGTTGGGGTGTGTTTCCGGCCAACTTAACTTAGAATCTCTAATTCAATTCTGGATGCTCAACACATGGCATTTTAGGGACAATTTCGCATAAACCTAGTCCGCACAGTAGATTGTTTAAATCTTTACCTCGTGTATATGCCAACGATTTTAGAAATTCGTGGCAATACTGCAGTGGCAAAAGTCCTCCTCAACAGCGGTGAAACTTAACCCCAACATATTTCAGAACTATTTAGCATAACACTGTCTAAAGTCCAAAGCATTTTTTTTTTTGTGCTGAAAAATTTTTTGCAGACAACACATGTCTCCCATTACACGAACACTCGTGCCATGGATGCGTCTCTCTCGCGTGGCACTTTCGGCTCGTGAAGCCCAGCGCGTTTTCTATCAGAAGCTCCGGAAGCGCAAGATCATGCGTAGCTAGCTGTTACCTGAGCAGCTTGCCTGAGCCCGCGTCGTAGCCGTCGAGTATTTCGCACGTCATGCAAGCAACCAGTCATGAATTTCCAAGAGTCGAAAAGAGAATTGGAGCCTATGAAATTTCTATGGATAGGAACCTTTATTTTTGAGAAGAACCGGCGGAAAAAAGGGGTTTGTGTGCGTGAGGGGGGGGGGGGGGGGGGGGGAGGGGGGGGAGGGGGGGCGGTTTTATTTACAAACTGCCTGCCCTTGGATAACCAGATATCTCTCCAGTGCCACATGATTACTATCGCCAGAGTTCAGATTTCCTTAGGTTAAATTAGGATAGTTTTTTTTATTTATTTATTTATTAGGGAGGAGTATTTATACACAGGTTATCGACTGAGCCGTATCTTTTGGACAATAAATGGCGCTACGCATATTGAAAAAAAAAAAAAAAAATAGGAGACGACGGACGAAGGGGACAAACACAAACGTCTCGATTGAGACGTTTTGTGCTTTTACCGTTCTTTGTCAACCGACCAACCGATTGAGAGAGAAATTTGTTTTCCGGGGGGGGGGGGGGGGGGGGGGGGGGGCGGGGGAGGGGTGGGGGGGAGAAGCCAAAAAAAAAAAAATTCTCTATCTCAAAAAAAACAAAAAAACTTTTATTGCGTTTTTTTATCGGCTGGAAAAAACAATAAGCGAAAAGACGTGCTTGCATAAATATGTCAGGAGTTTATTTTCTGTGGCGATGCAGCCATATGTAAAGCGCGTGTGACCGCGCGCCTTTAGCACCGATTAAAGAATATGCACGCGGCTCCTTGAAAAGCGCGCTTCCACAGCTGCAATCGGCGCTCAAGGTAGGCAACCGCACGCGCTCTGCCTCTGGCTGCATTGCCACAATAAACTCACCTATTATTTTTCTTGTTATTTTAGTTGTGTATTGAGGTAATTTGCTTCGTACGTATAAGGAGTATTCACTGGGCGCCATATTTGTGGGTGCTGTCTAGAGCGCACGAGTGAGTGAGAAAACGTATTTATTAAAGGGATGCTCAGAACGAGCCCACATTAATAGGCTGCTAAGACCGGCAATCCTGATGGTGTGGAATGCACGTTGCAAAAGAACCGTGCAAGCTCGCCATCAGCACGTGCTCAGCAGTCGCGCACAGAACTATGGCCGCCAGTGAATACAATAACGCTGTAAAACTAACTGGCGCGTGCACAGGGGCGGACGCAAGTATTTCTAAATAAGGGGGATATGTCAGCGTATCATAAGTACAACCCCTCCCTCCCCCGTGTTCCTTCGGTAGCTCTGTAGCACATCGCTGCGCAGT